TCGACTTACTCTCAATGTGCCGACTAATCCAGTCTCGTCTGATCGGTCCCCTGCTCTCCGAATTCATTCAGACTGCTGTGATGTTACCGGCATTTGATGAGAATTCCGAATGCTCTGCCCCCATTACCTCTCGAGCCCCATGGAGTTTTCCACACCTTATAAGTAAACCTGTCTCTATCCGGACCGTCTCCTCTCCTTATGGCGTTCTCTACTTTCATTTCTTCTCTAATCGGACTGCCAACTCTCAGTGCCCTGTAATAACCTAGTCTCATCTGACCGGTCTGCTCCTTTGATCTTTTAGCGACTAGCAAGATATACCGATCTAATCTCTGTAGACTCAAAACTATGTCTTGCTTACATTGACAGCCCGCTAGACTTGTTTACCCTTTATTAATATAGGCACTTCCATCAGTAACCTGTACCCTCAAACCTTCAATCAGACGACCGACGCTTAGTGCCATGTTCTTCTTTGTCATCATCAGATCAGTGAAAGTCTCTGGGACTACTACGAGGCCTAAGGATGTGTCGACTATTCAAGTCTCGTCTGTTCGGTCTCCGGCTCTCAGAGTTCTCTCAGACTACCGGGATATCACCGGTGATTTTTCAGAACTGATCGCTTCTTACTTCGCACGAGAGCGTCCTTGGCTTCACCAAACTTTAGTAGTAAACCTTTTTCATCCTGACTATCGTCTCCTAATTGCTCTCACGAGTTACTCTTCGCACTGCCGTCCGCATTCTTCCGCTCATAGCTGATTCTTTAAATTTCCTTTTCTTCTTGGAACGTTGCTTTACCTATGTTGCTCCCGCATTCCGTCTCAACCTAGTTGTCCTTACTTTCACCTAAGATGCCGCTCGCATTCGGTCTGCTGTCATCATCATCGGTTTACCTGTTACTCTCCAACAATCATATTAATCGCTTAACTTTGTCAACACGCTTTGTTGTATCCGTCCCTTGACCCTGCGCGTGCAGATCCTTCGTTCTACCTAGTAGTTGTAGTCTGAGGCACACCAGCGACGTGATGTAAAGAACGCGCTTGCAAATCATGTATACTAAACAAAATTACATAAATTTTAATGTATCATAGGCACCGTTGCGCGCCACCAGTCTGTGTTTGTGCTTCTTGCTTCATTGCTGTCTTTCTGTTTGGCTGCCTCTTGTCCGTTGCCCGTTTTCTCCCGAGATTTCCACAGATACATCCGCCAAAACATGAAGGTTTATCCACTGGGACTGGTCGACCCACCCTCAATAGCCAGCTGGTTTACATGCTTGATCTTTTCTCCGGGAGATGAAGAACCCACACATCGTACCAAATGGAGCTTTTTCCGTCATTCTGGAGAAGCTATTACCACGGGTCTAAACTAATGGGTTTAGCTCGCCTCGTACTCACAATAGAACAATTTACTCACCTGGAATAATGTAGTTACATGGATCCACTGTTCCACAACCGAAGACTGACAATTCTGGCGTGATTACCTTCAATGCCTCAAACATTCCGATTCTCCAATCACCTGGAGCTTTTCTGATGTCATTTCACGGACAGCATTGCGCGCGTATAAGCGGCTTTTCCGATGATCTTTCATGGAGTTCTCACTTGGCCATGGAGACAATTACACTTACATCTGAAGGAATTACTAGTCCACTTTGCGGAGAATTGCATCTTTCATGTTATGGACATATTCAGACACAAGAAACAACTGCACTCACCGTCCCTATGACAAGTCCAGCATGGATAGCTGGACACGGGTTGCGAGCCGGACAATATAATAGAAAAATCCGGCCTCTATTAACAATGTGGTTACTCACCCGCATCATTATCATTCGACTGTGACTCTTTTACATCATTGACTGGCTTCAACGACTATTGCCGGTTCAGTACTAAGCCATTTGGCAAACCAAGGAAGAATTTTGGCTGTCAACCGACTGCGAATAATAGAGTGCAAAATCGGTCCATACGGTGCATAGCCGACTAGCACTACATTTCAACGGAACCTACTACAGTGTTCCAGGACGTGGTGGGTTTTCGCCTGGCAAGCGTTCTCCCTATAAAAAGCCACAAATGTCCGCTTAACAACACTGCAACGTGGCGGATGTGACTCGCCACAAAATAAAGTCACAGCTATACCTTTCACACTGACGCAGTCCTCAGCCTCCTACATCCAACCTGTGCAACTGATTTTACTATGAAGAATGCTTTAGTGGAGTACCGATCATCCCGGCTTCGTAATGGTCATTGGTTGCACTAAACCTTGTTTGGGCTCCTGTGCTCATGAATCACTACATGGCAAATTTACCCCCCACTTGTATCTTGACGCAACAGTTTTTGCGCGCCACAGCGCCATCATGGTCCTTGATCTGACTATTACCTGACAATATGCTCGCTCATATGAACTACATCTTTTCGTTTATTCCTTTCATTGTAACGAAATGTTTTAATATTCCAAAGAAGCTATGCTTGTATGCATATTTGATCATGCCTTTTAGAGGTGTGTCTCGTTTTACAGAGAATATACCATTTATTTATTTATTTAGTTAGTTAGTTACAAGCGGAACGAGCGTCTACAACCCAGGTCCAGAGTAAGCGACCGATGAGCGTAGGTGGCTATTAACGTGCCATTGGCGGCACAGGCTTGTCGACAAAGAAGCGATAGGCTAACTTGGCATAGGGGGAATGATGCTGACTTCCACCCCGGTGTCAACTAAGAACTGGGTCTCAGAATCATAATCACTAATGTGGATGGGACGACTTTGGGCTTTTCCGACATGTAGCGGAGTAGCTACGTGGCTGCACTCACTTACGGGCTTTATTACCGAAACGCGAGTGGTAAAAGCAGGAACCTATGGCATCAGGTTTTGTGCGACGGGGCGATGATCCAGAGCGGCTGCGGTGCTTCCAGTTTAAAGTGAGTTCCTCGATCTGGCGCTGAAGCGACTCTTCCTGCGATAATAATGTGTCTATTTCCGACGGCTGACTAGTCGTGCATGTCACGCCAGCACAAAGCTGCTTAGGTGCATTGCTTTTAGTCTCTGGTTGGTGTCGTTCGATAGCGCGGTCCACTGCGATCCCTGTGAGTACCAGCTCACTTGCTACTGTAAAAATAGCCGGGTGCATTCAGGGGGAACGTTGCATTCACAGCTCGCGGAGAATACCTACGTCCATGTTGGACGTGCAGATGAGCTGTTACATTTCGCACAACAATGATAGTTGCAGAGCACTAAACGGTTGCTGCAGACGGACCTTGTCAGAAAGCCTGATTAGCTGAATAATAGCCTGTTTAAGGGTCTCGTATTTCATTAAAAGAGAGGAAAAATATGAGGTCTCACCTGCGAGGATATGCTTTGAGGAAGGCGAGATATTAGCTGATTGTACATGGCGAAATCAGAAGAAACCCTACAAATCTAGAAACCGGATTCTAGGTGCAAAAGCATGGCGGAAGATCATTCTTCCAAAAAGGTGAAGGGGCTAACGCAACTGTATGGACCAGGACAGGCTCGACGGCGCTAACCGCGTATGGAGATTGCTCATCCTCTAGGCACTGCATTGTAAAAAGCGAATAAAAAGTGGGAAGGTGAAAAAACAGCATGATCATAACTAATGAAACAGAAAACCACTGGATCGAGCTCACCGGGAGGAAAATTCAAAATGGCGGACGTCGTGTTCTGAAGCGGGGTCCCCAAGTGTTGGGTGGTGTGGGATACTAGTCAGAAATCAATGACACCTAAAAGACGTATCGAATACGGGACAGTATAGCATTTGGAGGTGACTGAACCTAACGTATATTGTGCAGGCTACAAAAATAGGAAGCGAATCAGCCAGTGCGAGCAACGTGCAACAAGGTTCTCACCAAAACGGTCTGTGTCAACAAACGTGCAGTCAGTAATGCAAGTGGACGTTTTGAAGGTTAAGACAACTCTAAAATCCAATGTTACAAAATACTGGAAGAGCTTGTTTTCCGGTACACTACACGTTCCGACCGGATCAGGGCGGAAACTCGGCTAGCGCGGAGCGTTAGCGAGCGCTGGAACTCGTTTCCAGAAGTGTATTCATTGAATCCAAGATTAAGTGTTTCGAGGGTCAGTTAGACGCCATTGGGTGGGAAGAAGGAACCATTCCTTACTCCTGACCATATCCATATTTCAACTTTGAGTGCATACTCATTCTCCTCACTCTGGTAGTATCCTTCATTTAAATGAATTTCACTTCTCTTCCCTTTTCTTTCTACGTCTTCCTTACTTTATGTGACCTACACATGGTGCACTGTTAGTGCGGGGAAGTTGGGCAGTAATTGATTGATCAGGATGTGGCTCGGAGGTTTCATTTTAGATTCATCCATACACTAGTATACAGGAGATTACGAATTGACCTCATTACAGAGTTTAGAATCCTTCACCTGAGACATTTTCCTCACCTGAGACATATGTTCTGTATTGTGGATGCACCTATCACCCGAGGGCATTCTTACAAGCTGGAAGTTCCACGTAGGGACAATGTCACTTATATCCATTTTTTCGCGCGACGTGTGATACATTTCTGGAACTGGTTGTCCAGTTCCGTTGTTCTTTCTGATTCAGTGCAGTGTTTCAAACGAAGCATTGACAAACATTTTTCAGACTTGTGTTTCGATGCAGACGCCATGTTTGACCTTTCGTCGCGTGGTTATGTCACGGCTACTCTAGCAACCCTAAAAGACACGTAGTGCTTTCTTTGTGCTTATATTTCGGTATTGTGTTTGCTTATTACTAAACGACTATTGATGTGCATTCACACAGACCCACATTCAGTTTGGGTCATTTTTGCTTTACTTTGATGGAGATCACATAGATTCCTATCTTATTCTCCTAATAAATTGATTCTGATTCTGATTATTGTATCAACATTTTCTGGCTCAACAATCCGCTCAAGTAGCAACACTCAAGGGACTTTCTTATCGTTCCGGACCCAGTTGTAGCTAAATATGGCCTGAAATCATTCTATTTTCGTCTGAAATTCTGTATTTAAAGTTAGCGTTAACACCGGTGGAGCAATTCCGTGGCCTTGGCAGTCTACGTTTAGCGGCTTCCATCTGCAGTTCAGTTGTCTGCCGTACTTAAATCCTCTCATCGGATGGATGGGAACGATGACCGCACTAGATCGGCGGATGAATCTAACGACGGACCGGAGGATGGTGGCGTAAAAACCATGAAGAGCGGCCGACATGTCCAAAGGAGAAAGGCGGATGTAAATTTTTCCCTTCAGGTACCCGGTGAGTCAGCTGTTATCATCCAGTAACCCTAACGTTACCGTAATCCCAATTGGGATTACGGTGAAGACATCCATAACGTCCCTGACATTGCAATGTATAGATAAGGCGTGGGACTTGAGCATCGTTATGGTACATAGCCTCAGACCTCCGGAACAGTGCCAAAGTGCCGCTTACAGCGCCTCGGGAAAGCCTTGTGTAATACTAATCCTGCTTTTCTCCCATTGTACAAAGTAGTGGTTCGGCCGCACTTAGAGTGTTGTGTTCAGACTTGGGCACTATATTTTAGAAGTGACATCGCTTGTCTATAGAATGTAGACTGGCCAACAGAATAATTGTAGGCCAGCGTTGGAAGTCGTATGTTTACGGTCTAAATTGTTTAGGCTTGTTCTCATTGGAACTACGCAAATTAAGTGGAGGTCTGTTAGAAACGCTTAAGATTATAACGGGCGTCCGTGGCATTAAGTCTACCGATATACGTCGGACCACCTGCGGGGACTGTTGGGTGGCGCCTGCGATACTGGTCGGTAATCAATGACACGTGATAGACGTCGAATACAGAACAGTATAGAAGTTGGAGGCAACTGAACCCAAGGTGTATTGTGCAGGCTACAAAAAAAGGAAGCGAACTACTACAAGGAGGAAGGGTACAACAACATACTCACCAAAACAATTTCTATCAAAGGAAGTGCCGTCGGTAAACAAAGCGGACGTTTCGAAGGTTTAAACAACGGTAAACTCCAATGTTACAAAATACTGAAAGCGTGTTTTCCCCCATAGAGGAGTGAGGGGTGGAATCCTTCGATGGAGGTGTTAGTTGGGGACTGCGAGAGGTGAGGATGGGTGCGACTAGTACCATGGGCTTGAATACTGGCTTCCAAGATGGGGTGTGCAGCGGATTTCACTGGGTCCAAGCTTTTGTTATTAGTTATTTATGACGATCGTGTGGATCAGAGTGCATCTTCGGTGCACCGTCGGGGCAAACTGGTCTGACTGAAAAAAGCTGGCTAGTCCATAAAAAGGGCTGACTGGATATTTCCTCCGCTGCAGACCCGCCGGTGCTCTTGGGAAATGTCATTCCCACCACCGCCCTCCAGTCCACGGTCCTCGTCCCATGAAGAAATCCGGGCACCGAGCCAGGTGTTTGGGGACCAACCCGTTCGTGGCTATCTGCAGCCGAGAACGACTTACTGTACTTTGGGTCAGAAAGGGGGCCTTAGGCCGGCTAGGGAGTTACTCAGGGGTTGCGTTGAGCCGGTTGGCGAGTCACTCAGGGGTTGTTTTGGTAGTTCCAATGGTTGGGTTTCTGGAAGGTAGAACTCAGGGGGTGGGAAAGGGTCGGGAGAGGGCATTGTCGCCGAAGATGAAACATGGCATGTGTGGTAAAAGCAACTACGCTTTTTAGGTTTTCAAAATGTTTTGGGTTTTCCGTCGATTTTGCAAATTGTTTGTGGATGAGACGCACGATTACCATTAACGACGAACAAGGCATGCTAATAGAAATAGCACACGTTCACAAAATCTGAAGAGCGGACCGGACGTTTGACCTGTTTACCGCATCGGTCGGTTGCCTGAGGTTGAGGCCGGGTAGGTTGAGGGTCAAGGGGAACGAAAAGTTTCGAGATATCCGGTGCTCGAGAAGTCACTGCAAGTGCGGGTGCTTCTGTGATAGCGTCAGAATGAATTGCAAGTGGTTCATCGAAGAAAGCCACTTTAATGCGGTCGATGGACACCGTTGTTCGGTGACCATTCTCATCTAAAGGGAAATGTGTCGGAGTCCGTTGCAGGACTCTGAAGGGGCCAGTGTAGGGTGGTTGAAGGGAGCGCCGCACTGCGCCGGTGTGGAGGAAGACGTGAATGCAGGTAGAGCGTTCGTGGTGTATTTGAACATCTCTAGTCTGCTCAAGGGGGGTATTTGTTCGAGGCAGAGCTGAAGGCGAAGATATGGGGCTTATGGTCAGTGTAGACCGTGAAAGCGCGGCCTTCGAGTGTGTGCCGAAAGTGATGAATAGTTAGGTAGATGGCGAGCAGTTCACTGCCAAACGGGCTGTAGCGGCATTCCGCTGGCTGCAGGCGTTTGGAGAAGAACCCAAGGAGTTGCCACTTCTCACCAACATGTTGGTAGATGACTCCTACCGCGACCTCTAAGGTATCAGTCCTGATAGAAAGGGTGCAGTCGATTCGGAATGAGCGAGAAGACCTATGTTGGAGATGGCATCTCTGAGCTCGGTGCAGGCTGACTGCTGTGTCCGGGAAAGCGAACTTACGTTCATTCTATCTGAGTAGGTCAGTCAGAAACTGTATGAGCTGAGCGCAGCGCGCAATGAAACGTCTATAGTAGTTGACCAAACCACAAAATCGACGGACATGCTTGAACGAAGTTGGATCTGGAAAATCCTTAATTGCCTGGATCTTATCAGGAAGGACTTCGATACCAGACGATGAAGCGAGGTGGCATAGGAATTCTACCGTTAATTTGCCGAGTTCACACTTAATCGGGTTGACTCTAACACCGTGTTGGATCAAGCGCTGGAAGAGTTCGAGCGTGATCGAGGTGCTCATGTTCCGATGAACTGGCGACTAAAATGTCATGGCGGTAGGAGTAAGCGAAGTCTGGGCCACGAGTGACATCGTGGATGAAGCGTTGGAAGGTTTGTGCGGCGTTTTCGAAAGTAGTGATAACGGCTGTTTTAGGAATATCCTTTTATTCTACTGGTATCTGTTGATAGGCGCGAACCAGATCGATCTTGCTGAAAATCGTCTTACCTGTGAGACATGCGGCAAGGTCCTGCATGTATGGGAAGAGATACCACTCTGGACGGTTAGCCGATTGAGTGCGCGGTAGTCACCGCAAGGGCTCCCAGTCACCAAATTTCTTGGGGTCATCTGCAGGTTAGAGGACCAAGGGCTGTCGGAAGGGCGGAATATTCCAAGTTCGTGCATGTGCTCAAACTCTGCCCTAGTTACCTTTACTTTCTCGGTCGATAGTCGGCGTGGACGGCCTGAGATGGGTGGGCCAATCGTCCGTATGTGGTGCATAACTTGGGATGCCACGGGCAAAGCTTCCTTCATTTGCTAAAAAAGCTTGGAATACTGGGAAAAGAGGTTGGTGTAGTCTAGCGAGGTCTGGGGAAAGGCCTAGACCGGTGTTATAGATGTGACATCGGCGGTGATGCCACGTACACTGAGTTTCGTTGCAGTGTCGACTATCATCTGGCGTTCCACATCGACCAAGAGGTCGAAGTGCCTGAGCAAGTCATTGTTAATGATGGCAAAGGGGACTGCAACGACAGTGAATGCCAGGCGGAACGTGCGCCGATGATCTAGGTCCAGGGTAAGTGACTGATGACCGTAGGTGCCTATTGGCGGCACTTAGGCTTGTCGACAGAAACAGCTGGTTCACTTGGAATAGGAGGGATGACGCTGACTTCCGCCCGGGTGGATCGTGCCGATTTCCAAGGGGTAGAACTTAGCAACGCGCGTAACCTAAGGAACAAGGTGCATGAGCTGAGTCATCTTGTAGACAAATCCCCACCCGACATACTTGCTTTCACTGAAACGTGTTCGTCTCTGGATATCACGGACGGTGAGGTCTCTTTAACTGGCTACGCACGTATAGAAGCGGTTGCTCTGTTGGTCATCAAGGCGGAGACGTTGTACTTTGAACCAATCAATCAGTCAGTCAAACAGCATTATAGCAGCCATTTGAACTAATGCTTCGCTGCCTACCAAACATGATGACCACCGGACTGAAACGTCGCAACGAGACTGGACCTTAACGTGGTGCGACGGTTTGCGTAGCTCCTTGGTCCATTGAGCTGCACCGGGTGGTGCCTGCGGCCCTATGAGAGCTACTCCTACCTAAGCAAACATTCAGGGTCAAGGCGCCTACACCTTGTGTAGACAACATACCGACACAACAGCTGGCTATCGTGCAAAGATAAGGCGGCATCGGCGAGAGAGCTTTCTTGCGGCTTTCACGTCATAATCAGCCATTACCTCTCAGATAACTCCGCACCAAACAAACTTTAAACAGGCAGTCCGACTAGGAGACGGCAGCAGACGCGCCACTGGTGTCGGTTGCGAGCTGTCCTGTAAAATCTCGAGCCAAGCACAAGGTGAGTCACCTGGACTCCAGCTCGAAAGATGAGACGGACCACCGGCACCCAGCTTGGTCGTCAGTGACTTCATTTCCCCCTGCCAAGTCAACTTCTATCCACCTCGAGGCTTGCGCCACCCTACACCTGGTAGACTAAACAAGACCCTCCTAGGTAAGCGGTGACCAGGCATACGAAGTACGTGCCCAAGCCAACGCCATTTATTTAGTGATATCTGTTGTTCTAAGGAATTCGCATAATTATCACTACCTAGTACTCGCCTACGCCTATGCGGACACGCTGGTGCCATCCGACATCATCAGTGCTCCGCAGATAACGATGCCCAAAGACTTGAAGGCGCCTCAGATCTTCAGACCGAAGGGGCCAATTTTCACTACCATGGAGCAGGACGGCCGTTTTTGTGGCCTAGTATACACGGCCTTTCAGACGGAGGGAAACTCCCTTCTGTCGCCAAAGATGTCGTAGGTTCAAAAAGGCAGTTCTGGCCTTTGCATTGCGTGCACTGACTTCAGTTTCTATGCACCCATGGTTGCTAATGCAGCTGCCAAGGTAAGTGAATTGATCAACCATCTCGAGTTCCTCGTTAGCAAGCGTCGTGGGGTCACTAAGTGGCTGGTGGTCCTGCAGCAACAATTTGTAGGTACAAAGCGCATACCTAATAATGGTACCACTAGACAGGTCATTCAGGGCTAATTGTGCCACCGCAACATCGTCGAAAAGAAAGGCGATATCGTCTGGATAATCGAAATCAAGTAACCTTCCACTAGGCAGTACCTCAACGCCTACATCATGAGAATTCACAAAGGAACACTGCATGATAGAGTCCACTAGAAATTGAACAAAAACGGAGAAATCGGACAGCCCTGACGAACGCCACTTGTGGTC